AAAAGAAATACATACTAAAGTATCTGTGGATAAAATAATATATTGCCATGGATTTATTCCAAAATAATCTATGCCTGGGTTTGGGATAGGTAGTAAGGATAGAGATGAAACATGACTATATATTGATAACTACTAAAGTTGAGCCAATACTATCTCTACCTTTAAATAAACTTAAAAGTTCTATAATAAAAACACATAAATACTATCATGAATCCATACTCAACAGTTGAGTTGCTACACACACAAAAAAATGAAATAGCAAAACCAAAAAAAAAACAGTAAATTCAACAACATTGAAGGTAACTTTTTTATTTTTACTATTTTTTTTTTTGGACAGACAGAGTGGACAGTGAGAGAGAAAGACAGAGAGAAAGGTCTTCCTTTTTCCATTGGTTCACCCCCTAATGGCCGCTGCGGCTGGCGCACTGCAGCCAGCGCACTGCGCTGATCTGAAGCTAGGAGCCAGGTGCTTCTCCTGGTCTGCCATGGGGGTGCAGGGCCCAAAGACTTGGACCATCCTCCACTGCACTCCTGGGCCACAGCAGAGAGCTGGACTGGAAGAGGAGCAACCAGAACAGAACCGGCACCCCAACCGGGACTAGAACCTGGGGTGCGGGCGCCGCAGATGAAGGATAGCCTATTGAGCTGCAGCGCCGGTGAAGGTAACTCTTCAATTAGAAATAAATCATTTGGAGAAGGTGTTTAGAAGAGTGATTAAGACACCAATGAGAGCTCGCACATCCCTTAGTAGAGGGCCTAGATTCTAGCTTCCTTTTAATGTGCACCTAGGGAGGCAAGAGGTAATGGATCAAGCACTTGGGTCCCTGCTACCAGCATGGGAGACCTGGATGGAGTTCCTGGCTCCTGGCTGTTGTGGGCATTTAGAAGGTGAACCAGGGGTGAAGCAGGAGATGAAGATCTTTGTTTCTCTCTGCCTTTCAAATAAATTAAAAGTTAACAAATTTTTAAAAAAGAAATAAACAATTAGAGCCTGCTTATTTTGTATGCATTAAATTTTAGAGTAACCACATAACCATAACTGATAAAAGTATTTAAAAAAAATATTTGAGGAAAGGGCAGAGAGAGAGAGAGAGGAGAGAGAGAGAGAGAGATCTGCCATCACTGGTTCACTTCCCAAATGTTGGAAACAGCCTGGGCTGGACCAGGCGAAAGCTAGGAGCCAGGATGCCCATCCATGTTGTGTCCCACAAGGTAGCAGGGACTCAAGTACTTGAGCAATCATCTACTGCATTCCTGCACATAAGCAGGGAGCTGTATCCAAAGCAGAGGAAAGGAGTGGGCACTCCAGTATGCACTGTGGCTGTCCCAAGCAACTTAACCCACTGCACCACAGCAATCCCAGAGGGAAACCTTTTGACATAGATATTTCAACTCCTAACTCTGGCAAGAATGGTCACATTAGAAAGGCCCTAAAGTAACCCTTACTGTGATGACTCAGTGGTTAACAATTGATTAAACTGCTAGGGTTAGGTGGAAGTTTGATTCAGAAATTACAAGAGGACTTAGGCTTCCTGTCATAGATCCTCTGATCAATCTTATCATAACTTAAGGGACAATGACCACCTGCCACCTGATGTCATGCAATCCACATGACTTCACCAGCTATAGAGGACTGTTGACCTGTGACCTAATAAGGCATGTAGAGGTAACCTGTTAAATGGAAGTCAGTTGTCTCATTTTCTTCAGCAAATTAAAATCATTTTAAAAATTTGTAAACTTAATTTCCATCTATTTGAAAAGGCAGAGAGAGAGAGATCTTCATCTGCTGGTTCACTTCTCAAATGCCCACAACCACAACAGCCAGGACTGGGCCAGGCTGAAGCCAGGAGCCTGGAAATCCATTCAGGTCTCCCAAAATGGTGACAGGGACCCAGTCACTTGAGCATTCACTGCGGCATTAACAAGAAGTTGTCATCAGAAGCGCAGCTGAAACTTGAACCCAGATATGTTAACATGGGATGCAGCATCTTAACCACCGTGAACACCTACTCCATTCAAAATCATTTTAAAAAATAAATAGAGTTAGTGTTTGGCCTAGGTGGTAAGACACTGGTTAAGATGCTCATGCCCTGTGTCATGTCCCATAGTGCCCAGATTTGTTTCCTGGCTCTGGCTCCTGACACCAGCTTCCTGCCAATGCAGATATACTGAGGCAGCAGTGATGGCTCAAGTAGTTGCACTCTTGTCACCCATGTAGGAGACCTGGATTGACTTCCTGGCTTCCAACTTTGGCCTGGCTCTGCCCCAGCCATTGGGGGGTATTTGGAAATGAGCCAGCACATGGGTGGTCTCTCTCTGATTCTATCAGTATCTCTCTCTGTCCCTCAAATAAATAAATGGATACTTAATGCATAAATGAAAAGCAGACAGGATACTGCATTTGTGTGTGTGGTGGTGGGGTGTAGATTAAGACTTAAGAGACAGAGTGAGCAGTTGGTGTGGAACAAATAAAACTACAGAATTATTTTTGAGGCATTGAAAAGTCTAACTGATTGGAATGTATAATTGTGCAATTTTGTAGGTATAATATGGTTATGCAAATAAACATCAAATTCCTAGAGAGTCATATTGAAGTATATGGTAATGAAGGGAACTGATGTCAGAGGTAGGCTTTAACATACTTAGAGATTAGAAAAATCTTGACAAATGCTGAGTCTTGACAAACACTGGTTTTGTGAAAATTCCTTATGCTGTTGTGTCTGCTTTAGCACCTCAGGGTAATCTTTGTATGACAAAGAGATACTATCACCACGACTTAGGAATTAAGAGCCATTATTTTTGGAGGCAGAAGTTTCAGAGGGAGATATGGGAGGTTAATGTATTCATATACTCTTATTTACATACATGCAGATTTAGTTTTGATTATTTATTTCAGCCAACAGCAATTAAAATACAGATCCGAAAAGATCAATTGGCAAATGGGTGAAGTTTTTTTTTTTTTAATGAAAGTTCTTAATTCAACCAACCAACGAACCAAATTCAGACACAGAATATAGTAGAAGAAAAGAGTCAGCCACTTTATGTCCCATGGTCTGGAGTCCTTATAACTATTTGGAAGATTATCCTGGGTTAGTCCTTCCCATAAACTCATGGGAATCGTGGATCTGCAAAGCCGATGTTACCAGAAAATTCGTGTTTTTGAAACCTCAGGGTACACGTTTCTGTCCGGGGGAAACTTGTAAAGGCAGAAAACCAAGCCACTCAAAAACATGAGGAGGGCAGAGAGAGCTGCCACTAGAATGGCACTCCCAGCTTCCTGAGTATCCGGCTTGAATGGCAGATGGAAAGATGATGGGAAGGCAATGCCTTGTACATTCACAATGGAGTAGTAATTCCAGAATGCAGTGGTTAAGACACAGACACTAGTAATTATGTACAGGACTCCAGAAGCCACAAATGGGTTGAAGAGGGTATTCGTCCCCCCAATGCCCATGTACACATTTCTAAGTGCAAAGATGATAAAGGCCTTCCCCAGAAGCCCTAGAAGGTTGGCAGCCAGCAGGAGATGTTGAGAAACACGGATACTGAGAGGGAGGAAGGTATCATTGTAGGTGTGTCGGTGACAGAATTTGGTATGTCCGTGGCTTTGGTTGGAGTCGCGGTGATGGTGATAAACGCAGGTTCTCCATATTCCCACACTGGCAAATCCTTTGGGGGAGAGCAAGGGGTCATCCATGTACCACAATCGCCATTCTGCAAGGCCCATGGAAGTGGTGAAGAGGATCCATCCTATGGTGGAAATGGCAAAACCTGCTACTTGGCGATTGGCACTATTGACAAGTAAGGTCATGGTGGCAGCACACCCACGAGAACTGCAAACAAATACAGGGCATCATGAGGGCAGGACTCTTGGGTCTGGCACAGTCCTCCATGGGACACAGTATCAACAGCGAAGTGTTATGCAAGAGGTCCTCAAAGAGGTCATGGGAAATGCAAGTGAAAAACCATGAATGGACTTCAAAATTCCTTGGAACCAAAAATAAACACAATTGATTTTTAATTCCAGTTTTGAATAAACTTTTTGTGTTACACTCCTATATTCACAAAAGGAAACATTTGACGCTGTCTGCTGGAGGGGGCAGGCATTCTGCATTCTGTGGAAGTTTCAGGAAGGACCATTTAAATGCACAAAACTTCAAATAATTGGTTCCACTGCTAAATGCTGGTGCACAAACATAATCAAGGTTCATGCACACTAATACTGAAATGTGCAAAATACTGTCTAGTCCAACAATAGGGCTTTATTGAATAACATGCTATATCCACACAATGAAGATATATGCCAACATTAAAAGTGGACATAAAAGATGTAATATTGTATGCCTGGCACTTTTCACTTAGCATAATGGTTTCAAGATTCACCCGTGTTGTAGCATATGTGAGAAGTCTGTCCATTGTAGTGTGTGTGGGGGGTGGATTCTGTATTATGGGTATAACACCATTTGTCGAGTCATTTTTAGTTTATGGATATCTGGACTGCTTTCATGTTTTGTCTGTTATGAATAATGCTGTGAAAATTCACGATTATGCACACACACACAAACACACACATATATATATATGTATGAGTCTGCATTGATATATTTTCACATTTCTCTTGCATAAAGACCTAGGAATACAATCTCTGGGATGCATGCTAAGTGTATATTTGACTTTTTAGCCATTGCTAACCCGTTTCCACAAGTCATCACACTATTTTACATTTTCACCAGTAAGATAGAGTAGGTTGCAGTTTCTCCACATCATCTCCAACATTTTGGTATTTGTAGTCTTTTATATTGGAGCCATTCTAGTCACCATCTCATGTGACCAAAAGGAAGAATGCTCACAATACATCAAGTACAAACAACTTGTTATAAAATAGTGTGTGGATATAATCATAGATAAGAATTGAACTGGAAGGCTATCTGCTAATTATTAAAAGAAAAATATTTTATTTAAAAGGCATAGTGATCTCTTTCTCTACTAGCTATCTATCCAAATGCATGCAACAGCCAAAACTGTGCCAGGCTGAAGCAGGGAACTGTGCATTTTGTCTGGATCTCCTATGGAAATGCAGGACCCCAAGTATTTGAGTTATCACAGTTTCCTCCTAGGGTTCACATTAGCAGGAACTTAGAGTCAAGAGTGGATCCAGGACCTGAACCCAGGCACTCTGCTATGGAATGCAGGCATCCCAAGTGGTGGCTTGACTGCTGCTCCAAATACTTGTCCCAAGAGAAATTTTTAACTGCGTCTGAGGGATTAGCGCACCGTGCTGATCCGAAGCCAGGAGCCAGGTGCTTCTCCTGGTCTGCCATGGGGGTGCAGGGCCCAAGGACTTGGGCCATCCTCCACTGCCTTCCCCGGGCCACAGCAGAGAGCTGGACTGGAAGAGGAGCGACCGGTACAGAATCCGGCACCCTGACCTGGCCTAGAACCCAGGGTGCCAGCGCCTCAGGTGGAAGATTAGCCTATTGAGCAGCGGCACTGGCCGGGATTATAACTTTTAAAAAGCTATTTGTATTGTGAAAACTCACACATATATAGAAAAATATGTAGATCTAAGTGTATAGTTCAATGATTTATCACAAGGTACACACCACTGAATTTGCAACAACTATCACCACTTCGTGGCCTTTACAGTTTTGTCACTTCAATATGCATCCCCAAACACCCTTCCTCAGACAATGGAATTCAAGTTTGTTCAGTTTTCAAAACAGGCTCCTTAAAATAGTCAATCCCTTGTGACTGGCTTCTTTCACTCAATACTGTGTTTATTTCTGACATTCATGTGATGATGTTTTTAATGATGCCTGGCTGCTCAGTAGTTTTTGATATTCTGTCATAAGCATGGTCTTTTAAAATAAGAAATAACAAAAAGACTTCATTAAAAAGTTGTCAGACTGTGGAGGATTAACTAATGCTGGAATCTAAATAAGAGGGTACTTTAGAAAGTTTATGTGAAAATGGAATTAAAAGTATGAGTTTCTTTTTGTCCAAAAGTTTTTGCTGCAAAAAACAAAACAGAACAGAACAAAACAAAAAGAATGGCCGTTTGATGTAGCAGGTTAACCCACTGCCTGCAGCACCAGCATCCTGTATGGTTGCTCCACTCCAATCCAGCTCCCTGCTAATGCTCCTAGGAAAGTAGCTTCAGGCCCCTGCACATATGTGGGAGACCTGAGAGAAGCTCCTGGCTCCTGACTTCAGATCAGCTCAGCTCCAGTGATGTGGCCATTTGGGGAGAGAACTAGCAGATGGAAGATCCCTTCCCCTACCCCTGTAACTCTGCCTTTTTAATAAGTAACATAAATATTGAAAAACTTTTAAAATGATTTTCTTGACACATGGAAAATGTGTATCAAGGAAAAAAATGTATGGGGTTCAAACTCATTTTAGCACCTAATTAAACTCCTACTGTAACTCCATTTTCTATGAAATTTTTGAAGTACATAATTTAATACCTACTAAGTATGAAGGAACTTCAAGTTTATGGAAAACAGATTTAAAAGATAAGCTTAGGGGTGGACATTTAGCATAGTGCTTAAAATGCCAGTTTGTAGGCTTGTTTCCTATACTGGAGTGCCTGGATTCAATACCTGTCTCCAGCTCCTTACTCCAAATTACTCTTCATTCAGACCCTGGAAGGCAGAGGTTTTGGCTCAAAGACTTGGATCCCAGCTAGATACATGCGAGACCTTGCTTGACTTCCCAGTTTCTGGCTTCAGCCCAGTCCAGCCCTGGCTGTTGAGGGCACTTGAGGCATGAACTAGGGGACAGGAGCACTCTTTTTCTGTGTCCATCCCTCTCTCTGTCTCTCAAATGAATACGTCATTTTTAAAAATTAAAGATAACACTTTATTTTGGTGCAAAAAATGTGAAATTGGTATACAGTTTTGTCATGACACACATTTTCTATGAACTCTTCGAAGACCCTTCATACATAAAATTTAGATTTCTTTTATACCAAAACAAACCTTTAAGTCTATTTTCCAGGAAATTTTTGAAGTACCCTCATATTTTCAGGTGCTTATAACTTGCAATGGGTTATGCCCAACAATCATAAATTCAAAATATTTTGAGTTGGGCTGGTGGTTAGCCCAGCAGTTAGGACCCGCATCCCATATCAGAATGCCTGTGTTCAATCTTGACTTCACTTCTGATTCCATCTTCCTGCTAGAGCACACCCCAGGGGGCAGCACATGATGGCTCAAGAACTTTGCTCCCTGCTACCCATGTGGAAAACCCAAATTGAGTTTCTGGCTGCCAGCTTTGGCTTGGCCCAGACCAGCCTGTTGCAGGAATATGGGGAGTATTCCAACAGATAGGAGATCTCTGTCTCCCGCTTCTTAAATAAGAACTATTGCAAAAAAAAAAAAATAGGAAAAGAAAATATCATGAGTCAACAATGCATTTAATACACTCCCCTCCCAAGCACCCTAGCTGAGCAACACAACACACTGCAAAGTGGTGCTTGTGTCCCTTGTGACTGTGCAGCTGTTGGACCTGTGCTCACTGTCACTGCCCAGTATCATAAAAGAGGATGGAACTGCAAAACACAAACCCAGGAGAATATCCAAATGCAAAATTCAAAGTACCGTTTCTACTGAACGCATATTGTCTGATTGTAAAGTCTTAAGTTTTAAGTGCCACCATCCTAAGTCAAACCATTGTGAAAAGCCAAAGTGGCTCTATTTTGAAACTTTAAAAAGCAGCCTCTGTTTCCCATAGCAGACCTGAGTCCTTGTAAAAGCAGGCATTCAGGCATTCTGGAGATATCAAAGCTTACCAAGGACAGCTAGCTCAGCAGACCAAGGGCAGCTCCATAGAGATTACCAAAAGAGGTAACTCCCTAAACCCAAGCCAAATGGAGACCCCCACCCCCCGTCCTGCCCATGCTGACATATTTTCCCTTGAAAAGCGTCCCCGAGCAAAGACCTGGGCCTTTCCTCCTTCCTCCACTGCACCGGTTGGTTGGATGAGGTCCCTGTTGCAGCTTGTACCTTTTTAATAAAACCTTGCTTTTGCATTTTGGTGTGATCGGGTTGCTGATAGCTTCTTAGGCATCTACTTATCTGGGCATAACACATTGTATGTCCAGGACTATCTATATGTATTATGGAATATTATTTATATTCACAGCATTAGAAATGAAGGAAACTCTGACACAGAATGTAACAGGAATGACCATTGAGCTCACTATGCTAAGTGAAATAAGCCACATACAAGAGGATAATACTGTATGACTGTACTTACATGAAGTACCCAGGGTAGTCACATTCATAAAGACTGAAAGTAGTGACCGCTGGAGCCTAGGGGGCAGGAGAACAGGGGAGGTGGCATTTCATGCAGATAGGTTTCAGTTGGGGTTGATGAAAATGTTCCCAAGTTGCATATTGGTAAGACCTGCCCAACAATATGCTACTTACCTAATTAACTGTGGTGGAATGAGCAGACCTTGCCAATATGGCACTGGTGAGCAAGTGTCAGTTACTCAGGAAATGGCTTCGGAACCCACCTGGCAAAGGAGCCTGCCTAGCAACAGGCAGTGATTGGTTATGGCATAAACCATCCCTTGATCGGATTGGCTGCCTTGGCTAGATAAGCTGCTACACCAACTGCAAGAGTCTGCAAGCTGCTCGCCTCTAGCCGGCTTTCACCTGACTCCGGGTGTCTGTGTCGTGACTCCCCACCTCTTGCCCACTGTGCTTCTCCTTTCAAAATGAATTTACAGTAACAGTTTTCACATGGTTGGTTTTGTCATGCATATTTTACCACCATATGAGGAAAAAGAAAGAGGGAGGGAGTGTCCACTAACCAGCTGTGTGGTCTCCAAGTGAACCAGAAGCAATGTGAGAGAAGGCTGGCAGCTCACAGGGCCAGCATGGCTGAGGATGACACAGTACCTCCGTGACATCCCTCCTGGCTCTCCATCGCGGGCTTCTGGATTGAGGCAGCTGTAGGTGGCCCAGTGTTCAGTCACCAGGCCCTCTCTTTAGCCCTCCACTCTGGCCAACATCCACACTCCTTGTCAAGTCACCACCTTCTAAATTCTCAGTTGCTAGGCTGTGAATGCCATGACAGCAGCCATTATGTCATGGGCCATGACCACGTCATGGCTTTCTTTCCCTCCTTACTTGTCCTCTGTTCTGGCAGCCTGTAGGGGTCAGTTGGGGTCTGTTTACACATGGATGGTGAGCCCACTGTCAGGATCCATCTGATGGATCCTGACTTATCTTCTAAGTAGGGATCCAGCCAGTAGGTCTCCCTGGCACTCATCCCATTTAGTTTTTTTTTTTTTCTTGTGAAGATTTATTTGAACAGTAGAGTTACAGAAAGGGAGAGATAGATGTCTTCCACCCACTGGTTAGCTCTGAGCTGGGCCAATCCAGACAGAAGCCAGGAGCTTCTTCTGGGTCTCCCATGTGAGTGCAGGAGCCCAAATACCTGGGGCATCTTCTGGTGCTTTTCCAGGTACATCAGTAAGGAGCTAGATCACAGGTGGAGCAGTCCGGACTCAAACTGTGTCAGTATGGGATGCTGGCCCTTCAGGTGGTGGCTTTACCTGTATGCCACAGCACCAGCCCCAAGGATTTAGTTCTTCTTTAAATGTTTTGTAGAATGCATATGTGAATCCATCAGATCCTAAACTTTCTTGTTGGGAGACTTTCAGTATCTGTTTATTTATTTGAAAGGCATAAATACAGAAAGACAGAGGCAGAGAGAGAGAGAGAGAGAGATAGTCTTCCATCTGCTGGTTCACTCCACAAATGGAGGCAATGGTCGGCGCTAGGCCAATCAAAAGCCGGAAGCCTGGTGCTTCTTTCAGGTTCCCCACGTGGGTCCAGGGACCCAAGGACTTGGGCCATCTTCCACTGCCTTCCCAGGCCATAGCAGAGAGCTGTATCGGATATGGAGCAGCTGAGACTTGAACCAGCACCCACATGGGATGCTGGCACCACAGGATGTCTTTTCTGGCTACGCCACAGCGCTGGCCCTGACTTTCAATTATTGTTTAAATCTTCATTACTTGTTATTGGTGTGTTTAGATTTTCTACATCCTGTCTTAATTAATTTTGGGAAGCTGAATCTTGGGAAGTGTTGAGGATTTATCTGTTTCCTTAAGGTTGTCAAATTTGTTTGCATATAATCATTCATGGTAGCTTCTTTTTTTTTTTTCTTTTTTTTTTTTTTTGACAGAGTGGACAGTGAGAGAGAGAGAGACAGAGAGAAAGGTCTTCCTTTTCCGTTGGTTCACCCTCCAATGGCTACGGCTGGCGCACCGCACTGATCCGAAGGCAGGAGCCAGGTGCTTATCCTGGTCTCCCATGGGGTGCAGGGCCCAAGGACTTGGGCCATCCTCCACTGCACTCCCTGGCCACAGCAGAGAGCTGGCCTGGAAGAGGGGCAACAGGGACAGAATCCAGTGCCCCAACCGGGACTAGAACCCGGTGTGCCAGCACCGCAGGCGGAGGATTAGCCTATTGAGCTACAGTGGCGCCAGCCCCATTGTAGCTTCTTATGATGGTTTGTTTTTCTGTCGTATCAGTTGCAATTGTCTCATTTTCATTTCTAATTTTATTTGTCCTTCCTTTGTTAATCTAATAGTTTGTCTACTTTGTTTTTCGGTAAATAAGCTTTTTTTGGGTGCCAAGACATTGTTTGGGACACCCACATCCTATATCAGCATGCCTTAATTCAAGTCTTAGCTCCAGTCCAGATCAGCTTCCTGCTTATGTACACCCTGAGAAATACCAGATGATGGCTCATGTGCTTGGGTCCCTGTCACATACGTGGGAGACCTGGAATGAGTTTTGGGCTCCTGGCTTTGGCGTGACATAGTCCTGACTGTTGCAGACATTTAAAGCATGAATTCACAGGTGGCAGATCTTTTTGTCTGTTTCTTTCTCTGCTCTTCAAATATATTGAAAAACAAAAAAATGATAAATCAGGTTTTCATTGTGTTGGTCGTTTGCATTAAAAATTTTTTTGTTTACCAGTATTTGAAATGCACATCTGACTTTTACCATGCTACACCATAGAGCATTTTTATGTTTGTCCACAAGATGGCAGCACAAACACATCACATCAAGTAGCAGCAAAAACAGTGTATTTGGTCTGAAATTGAATGCTGATGTTAATTGCTTGTTTATTGCGACATGTTATTTACAAAAGAATTACTAATTGGATTGTTTATGTTTCTTGCAAAATGCCTATACATGCATTGCAAAATTGGTATAAAGGAGAAAAAATGCAAGTTACCTGTTGTAGTACTGCTCAGATACAGCCAGGGTTGAGTCTGATATTGACCTTCATGTTGGCAGGAATGTGATAGAAAGAGGAGACTACACATTTTTCAGACAAAATATGTCACCACCACCACCCAAGCAGCACAGTTGTTTACTAATTCATCCTTTTACATCCAGTGTTTCTTGAGCCTTTTCCCCTGTGTGACTGAATTATTTGACTTGGCGACTTTGAAGAATGCATGATATTCCATCCTGTGAATGAGTTAAATTAGGCATGTTAATTGTCTTTAAATGATAAAGGATTTCCCATATACAAAATGTATGAAGAAAAATATTGTAGTCACCCAAATAATGTAACCAAATTTTTTAAATTTTAAAATATATTTCTGAAGCAAAGAGAGTCAGAGAGAAAAAGGGAGAGTTCCGATTAGCTGGTTTGCTTCCTAAATGCCTGCAAAGCTTGCTCTGAGTTGAGGCTAGAACCAGGAGCTGGACACTCAATCCAGGTCCTCCATGTGAGTGTCAGGAAGCCAATTACTTGAGTCCATCACTGCTCCCTTGAAGGATCGTCCTCAGCAGGAAGCTGGAAGCAGGTATCAAACCCAAGTACATTATTTTATTTTAATTATTTATTTGAAAATCAGAGCCACACAGAGAGAGAAGGGGAGGCAGAGGGAGAGAGTTGTCCTCCATCTGCTAGTTTACTCCCCCCTCCCCCAACTGGCCACAATGGCCAGAGATGCTCCAATCCAAAGCCAGGAGCCAGGAGCCAGGAACCTCCTCCGGGTCTCTCACACGGGTTCAGGGGCCCAAGGACTTGGGCCATCTTCCACTGCCCTCCCAGGACATAGCAGAGAGCTGGACCAGCAGCGGAGCACGAACCGGCTCTGTGGTGTAGCCAGTGAAGCCACTGACTGCAGTGCTGACATCCCATATGGGCACTGGTTTGAGTCCCAGCTGCTCCACGTCCGATCAAGCTCTCTTCTATAGCCTGGGAAAGCAGTAGAAGATGGCCCAAGTCCTTGGGCCCCTGCACTGTGCGGGAGACCTGGAAGAAGCTCCTGGCTACTGGCATTGGATCAGCACAGCTCTGGCCATTGCAGCCAATTGGGGAGTGAACCAGCAGATGGAAGACCTCTCTCTCTCTCTCTCTCTCTTTCTCTCTCTCTGCCTTTCCTTCTCTCTCTGTGTAACTCTGACTTTCATGTAAATAATAAAATAAACCTTATAAAAAAAGAAGTGGAGCAGCCAGGCCTTGAACCCACTATGCCACAGCGCCCGCCCCCAAACCCATGTACTTTAAGATGAGAGACAGACATCTTAACCCGTGCCTTTCTCCATAGGCTAAACATCCACCCCATTATCCACATTTAACACATGTTCACTTTTTTGCCATCTTTGCTTTAAATATTTTTAGAAACTATAATTTATAGATAGAATTGAAGAGTCCCTCTATATAATTAATTCCTGTCTTTACATCTGTATATTGTCACTCTACATCATAAAAGCATTTTTCCATTTGTCCAGAAGGTGGCAAAATAGGCACTTCAAATAAAGTAGCATGCAATTTCTGCATATTTGTTCTGAAATTGAACACTGATGTTAATTGATCAGTTCATTTTGACAAGTTTCAAATAAATAATTTGACGGTGCCGTGGCTCAATAGGCTAATCCCCCGCCTAGCGGCGCTGGCACACCGGGTTCTAGTCCTGATCGGGGTGCCGGATTCTGTCCTGGTTGCCCCTCTTCCAGGCCAGCTCTCTGCTGTGGCCAGGGAGTGCAGTGGAGGATGGCCCAAGTGCTTGGGCCCTGCACCCTGTGGGAGACCAGGATAAGCACCTGGCTCCTGCCTTTGGATCAGTGCGGTGCGCTGGCTGCAGCGCGCTGGTCACAGCAGCCATTGGAGGGTGAACCAACAGCAATGGAAGACCTTTCTCTCTTTCTCTCTCTCTCTCACTGTCCACTCTGCCTGTTAAAAAAAAAAGTTATTTGCACAAAAATATTTATTAGGTTGTTTTTTCTGATAAAATAACTATACAATCATTGTAAAATTGGTACAGAGAAGAAAAAAAATACAAGTTAACTTAGGAAGCACTTCTTGAATACAGCCAGAGTTAACAATCTGAAATTTATCTTCATGGTTATAGACACATGATAGAAAGAGATTACATAAAACTTATCTCGTCCATACAGTTGTGTCTTTTTTTTTTTTAAGATTTATTTATTTGTTTGAAAGGCGGAGTTACAGAGAGGAAGAGGCAGAGAGAGAGGGAGGGAAAGCGAGAGGAGGAGGGAGATCTTCCATCCCCTGTTTCACTCCCCAAATGACCGCAACAGCTGGAGCTGGGCTGATCTGAAGCCAGTAGCCAGGAGCTTCTTCCAGGTTTCCCATGCAGGTACAGGGGCCCAAGCACTTGGGCCATCTTCTACTGCTTTCCCAGGCCATAGCAGAGAGCTAGATCAGATATGGAGCAGCTGGGACTTGAACCAGTGCCCATAATGGGATGTCAGCACTGCAGATGGCAATTTACCCACTGTGCCACAGTGCCAGCCCCACAGTTGGTTTCTAATCTACCCTTTCACATCAAATGTTTAATGTGGAGCCCGCACTGTGGAGTAGCTGGTAAAGCCGCGGTCTGCAGTTTGAGTCCCCGCTGCTCCACTTCTGATCCAGCTCTCTGCTATGGTCTGGGAAAGCAGTGGATGATGGCCCAAGTCCTTTGGCCCCTGCCCACACGTGGGAAGACCTGGAGGAAGCTCCTGGCTCCTGGCTTCAGATCAGCAGAGCTTGGGCATTGTGGCTAACTGAGGAGTGCACCAGTGGATGGAAGACTTCTCTCTCTCTGCCTCTCCTTCTCTCTCTGTGTAACTTTGACTTTCAAATGAATAAATACATCCTTAAATAATGTATATTGTACCCTTTCCCCCATATCACTAAGTTCTTTGATGTGGAGGGTTTTAAGAGTGTTAAATTCTATGTATGCATTGTAACCTATTTCATTTTGTCCATGTTAACTCTTTTTTTTTTTTTTTTCAGGCAGAGTTAGACAGTGAGAGAGTTATAGACAGTGAGAGAGAGACAGAGAGAAAGGTCTTCTTTCCATTGGTTCACTATCCTAATGGTTGCTACAGCCAGCGCTGTGCCGATCCGAAGCCAGGAGCCCCAGGAGCCGGGTACTTCCTCCGGGTCTCCCATGCGGGTGCAGGGACCCAAGGACTTGGGCCATCCATTGCTGCCCTCCTGGGGCCACAGCAGAGGGCTGGCCTGGAAGAGGGGCAACGGGGACAGAATCCGGCGCCCCGACCGGGACTAGAATCCTGTGTGCTGCCGCCGCTAGGCGGAGGATTAGCCTATTGAGCCGTGGCACCGGCCTGAAAATATATCTTTTATGAATAATGGAATGTCTATATGGGCAAAACCAGTTTAGGTCATAACATTTTTAAGATTCATTTTATTTATTTGAAAGAGTTACGGACAGAACGAGAGACAGAAAGAGATCTTCAATTCACTGGTTTACTCTCCATTGGCCACAACTGGCCAGGGTTGGGCCAGCCATAAACCAGGAGCCAGGAGGTTCTTCGCGTCTCCCACCTGGGCTCAGGGGCCCAAAGAACTTGGGTCATCCTTCATCCTTCTCTGCTTTCCCAGGAGCATTAGCACGGAGTTGGATTGGGAGTGAAGCAGCCAGATATGAAAGGGTGCCCGCCCATAAAGCATGTCCGTCACAGGCCACAGCTTAATCCGCTGGCTACAACCCGGGTACCGGTCATTATTTCAAAATCTCTTCTTCTCACATGCTAAGAAAGATCTGGTAACCCAAGAGGCTCCTAATTCATTTGCTTGCCCTATGAAGAAAGACCTAATGAACATGAAATAGGCTACAGAGGCAATGGGCCTTGGGGAATTCAGGCAGAATGAAATTCAAGCCTCCCTAATTCCCATTCCAGAGCAGACTCTTGGCTCCCCCTCTGCCAGCTCCGAAATGGCCAGATAGGTGGGGGGCGGGACTCTTCGTCCCCTAGCAACCACAGCCTGTTCCCTGATTGGCTAATCGCTGCGCAGCCGCCATTTTCAAATCCCCGGATGACGGTGGCGGAGGCGCTCTGCTGGCAGGCGCTTTCTGCTTTGCGGAAGCTGGTGGGCGCCGTGCCCATCCTTGCCGGTCTCCCAGGCAGCCGGCCACCGCCCCACCCCCCTCCTCCACACCATGGAGCCCGAGCTGGCGACTCAGAAGCAGCCGCGACCGCGTAGGCGAAGCCGTCGCTCTTCTGGGCTTAGCGCGGATGGCGCCGCGGGGCCTTCGGCGGATGCCCCCGGGAAAGGGCCTGAGGAAAAGTGAGTGCGGGGATGTGGTGGGGACTGGGGCCAGGCTGGAGGTGAGTGTGGCGTGCGGGATGAGGATCAGAACCGGGGCTGGGTTGGGGGCGGGGAGCGGGGAGTAGGGTGTGTGTGGAGGGGTCAGGGGCGGGGAGACGTGAGGTGGGTGCTCTCGGGAGCTGAGTACCAGTGAGCAAGGAGGGGCGATTGTGGGCCCGGCCTGAGACCCCCAAGCGGCGACTTCCCAGCCCTGTGAGGAAGAGCAGGACTTGTTGACAATCTCCAGGCTCTTTCCGAGGGAGGTGTTAAACAAAACCGCGGGGATTTTGTTCTGCAGACCCAATTGGCTGACTATGGCTTAGAGTTTCCGAATACAAACGCTCAGATCGAAGCTGATGGGGACTGGAGATTGTCACTGAAGCAGACACCAAACTTAGAGCCTAAAGGAGTTTACATCTTTGCAAGAACTGTCGTGTCGGTGAACACAGCACAGCTCAAAGCTCCCAGCCTCTGGTGTAAGGAAATCAAAGAGGACGGTTGCCGGCTTTTCCATTAAGACATTTCAGATTCTGGGTTGTATATGTCTGTGTATCTGGAAAGGGTGGATACTAGATGTGGATTTCTGAAAGCTGTGTCTCGCGAGGAGCCCTGTGAAAAGAACTGAGAGCAGTGCTTCCTCTAAGGTAGTACTGCACTGAGTAGCTTCCAGTTACAGATTATGTAGCTTTGATGGAGTTCCCTCACATCTCTTCCTTGTCTGTAAAATGGGTATTACCATAGTGTCCATCTCATATAAGGTGCGAAATTCATTCGATTATGTATTGAATGTGAAATACTTACCATAGGGCCCATATAAAGAAAGCACTCAATAAATGTTGACTGTTATGTCAGTTTTTATTTGTAATAATTCCACATTGCTCCATTTTTCAGAAGTCTCATTTAACATTGTTTTAGGTAAAAAATGCAGGCCTTTATGTAATTTTCATGCCTGTATATGCCAATCCTTTTTAAATTTTTTAAAAATTTATTCATTTGAGAGATTTGGGAAGGGAGAGAGACACTACATTACTTGAGCCATCACTGCTGCTTCCTGGGATCTGCGATAGCAGGAAGCTGGAGTGAAGAACCTGGGTGGGTACTCAAATAAGGGATGGGAGAGTCCTAAGCAGCAGCTTAACCACTAGGCCAGAGGCCTGCGCCTCAATCCAACTCCCCCTTTTTTGTATTGCAGTTTGTTTACTTATTTGAAAGTCAGAGTGACAAAGAGGAGATATCTTCCCCTGCTAATTTACGCTGCCAGGTGGCTGAAATGTCCAGTGCCGGTCCAGGCCAAAGCCAGGATTCTAAAACTCTCTCTTGGTCTCCCACGTGAGTTGCAGAGATCCAAGTATTTAGGCCATTTTACTGTGCCCTCCCAGAAGCATTATCAGGGAGTTGGGTCAGAAGCAGAGCAACCCCCTGCTGTGCCACAATGCCAGCCCCCTCAGTTCCTTTTTGAGAAATAGAAAAATACTTTGTTTTCATCAACAAGGCATTTATAAACTCATTGTAAATTACTCTGCAGAGAACTAGACTTTTTAAAGCTGCCAGAAGGAAGTCATCATCTCTGAGGCTGAGAAATAAGGGAACCAGGAAAAGATTAGTTAAGGAAAAAAGAAAATAGAATGTTAAAAAGATCAGATGGAGGCAGTGTTAAATTTATTCTGCATTCATTCAGTAATACCATCGAGTACCTGCACTGGTGCAAGGCATTGTAGATACAGGACATTGGAGTTAACAAAACAAATGAAGTCCTTGTTGTCAGGAAGCTTCGATTTTGGTTGGGATAAAAGAAAAAATCAAATATACAAAATATCCAGCAGTCACATTGTGAAGAGAATTAAGGCATGACAAGGGGGTAGAGACAGAGAGGGTAGTGTTGCTGTTTCTGAAAGATCACAAGGAAAGTCTCTCCGGTGATATAGGTGACCTTTGAGCAGAGAACTAAAGGAAGTACAGAAGAAACCTAGCCATATGAATATTTGGGAAAATGTTTTGGGCAAAGAGAAAAGCAAGAGCAAAGACTTTGAAGTAGAATCCTATTTGATTTGTTCAAGGAACTTCAAATAAAACAGGGTGACTGGAGTGAAACAAGGGAGTGGGGAATGTGAGATGATAAAGTCAATGAGATGACTGGAGTCAGAGCATGTAGTGTCTGATGGACCATCGTAAGGAATCTAAATTTGACTTAGTGAATTGGAAAGCAAGAGGAAATGAATGATGTGATATATATATAAATATATATATATTAATTTGACAGATAGACAGTGAGAGAGAGAGACAGAGAGAAAGGTCTTCCTTCCATTGGTTCACCCCCCAAATGGCCACTACGGCCGGCACTGCGCGGATCCGAAGCCAGGAGCAAGGTGCTTCCTCCTGGTCTCCCATGTGGGTGCAGAGCCCAAGCACCTGGGCCATCCTCCACTGCCCTTCCGGGCCACAGCAGAGAGTTGGACTGGAAGAGGAGCAGCCAGGACTAGAACCCGGCGCCCATATGGGATGCCAGCACCGCAAGCGGAAGATTAACCAAGTGAACCACGGTGCCGGCCCCGTGATGTATATTTTTAAAAGATGCTTCTGGCCGTTATGCAGCAAGGATAGAAGCATGTTGAGATGATATGTGAAAGTCAAAGATGGTTAAAAAAAAAATGCATATTTGGGATGTGTTTTGAAGGTGGAGCCAGTAGGATTTGTAGACCTATTCAATATCAAGTTAAAAGAAACAGAAATAATGAATGTAAGGTTTTGGCCTGAGCTATAGGAATAGGTTTCCATATTCTCAGAAAGAAAAGACTATAGCATAAGTTTGCTTTAGGATATGTTGTAAGGTGCCTGTCGAAGAGTTTATTATAGCCATTTTTTATTTCTTTTATTGAGTATATTTTCAGATGAGAGAGTACATGAATCATAAGTGTTTATTTAGCTCAGTGAAATTTCATAAAGGGCATACATCTGTATAAGTAGATGTAAATTTGGGAATTGTCCGCATAGAGACTTCAAATATTGTTATAATGTCTCTAGATAGTATAAATTAAAAAAAAAATTGAAGAACTAAACCCTGAGACACTCCCAAAATTTAAAGGTAAGACTAGGGAACTAAGCTTGTGATGCAGCAGGTTAAGCCACCACTGTGTTGCTGGCAACCCATATGGGCACTAGTTTGTGTCCTGGCTGCTCCACTTCAATCCAGCTCCTTTCTAATAATGTCTGGGAAGGCAGAGGAAGATGGCCCAAGTGCTTTGACTCCTCCACTCACATGGGAAACCCAGATGGAGTTCTTGGCGCCTGGCTTGGACCTAGACCAGCCCTGGCCATTGCAGCCCTTTGGGGAGTGAACCTATGGGTGGAAGTTCTTTCTCTGTAACTCTGCCTTTCATATTAATAAATCTTAAAAAAAAAAATTAAAGGTCAGAGTAGGAGTGGTTGTTGTGTTACAGAGAGTTAAGCCACTGTTTAGGATGTCTGTATCCCACTTGGACTGCCAATTGGAGTCCTGACAGCTGTATTGCTAGTGTTTTTTGGATATAGATATTCACTAAATTACATGAGATATTCAGCACTTTATTATGAAAAAGGCTTTGTGAGAGATGATTTTTCCCAACAGTAGACCAATGTTAGTGTTCTGAGCACATTTAAGGTAAGATATGGTGTTCGGTATGGTACATCTATTAAATGTATTTTCAGCTTATGATATTTTCCAGCTGTAATGTTTATGGGAAGATAACCCCATCATAAGTAGAGGAGCATCTCTAATGAACCTAGAAGAGTTTGTAGTGGGCAGTGAAGAGACTATGGTGTGGTTTATTAAGGAAATATGTAAGTGTCAGGTACTGGCAATATGGGAATAGAAAATATTGACCTTAACCTTTAAGAACTTAAAAGCTAAGGCAAGAAGGGTAAGTATGTTGCAGTCTGTGTTATGGCAGGGAGATTAAGCTGCTGCTTGCAACGCTGGCATCCCATATCAGAGTGCCATTGCAAGTCCTGATCTGCTTCCAGTCCAGCTCCCTCCTAATGTGTCTGGGAAAGCAGCAGAAGATGGTCCAAGTACTTGGGCCCTTCAACTCACTTGAGAGACTGATTGGGCTCCTGGCTTTGTTTGGCCCAGCCCTGGCTTGTGGCCATTTGGGGAATGAAACAGCACGTTTAAGATCAATCACTCTCTGTCACTCCTTTACTCCCACTCTCTGTCACTATGCCCTTCAAATAAATAAATATTTTTAAAAGGAGAAGTATGTTAATAATTATAATAGTGTGTGATAAAAGTTATTGTGGTGTATGTAGAATGCCATAGATGCAAATTAAAGGAACACCTAATCCTGACTGGAGAAAACAGGAATTCTTTATTGTAATCACTGAGTCTTGGAGGACCAGTTTAGAGAGCAGGTGTAAATAAATGGGTGACATCAGGTAGGGAAGAAGCATGTAAAAAGGCCCTGATGAGTAATGGGTATCACAGCTAGTTCACTGTAGCTAGACACTAGTTATATAGAAGAGGAGACTAAGATAGGGATAGAGAAGAGGTAGTGATGAGAGTTTAGGCCAAAGAAATAAGAGCCACATTTTAAGGAGCCATGTATGCCATGACCGAGTTTGGGTTGTATCTTAAAGGTGATTTCTCAGTCAACAGTACCTAGATGAGTGTTTGAATTTGGTAGTTGGTGGTTGGGCTGGAGAATGGGAGACATTGAGTATGGATTACACTTTTAAGAACAACATTTGTTGGGGCCAGCGCCATGGCATGGTGAGTAAAGCTGCCACCTGTAGTGCCAGAATCCCATATGGGTAGTGGTTCTAGTCCCGGCTGCTCTATTTCTGATCCAGCTCTCTGCTGTGGCCTGGAAACACAGTACAAGGTGGCCCATGTCCTAGGGCCCCTGCAGCCATGTGGGAGACCCAGAAGAAGCTCCTGACTCTTGGCTTCGGATCAGCCCATTTCTGGCTGTTGCAGCCATTTGGGGAGTGAACCAGTACAGGGA